CATACACACACATACACATACACACATACACACATACAAACTCATCCATTCCTCTCCTTTTCTTGTATTGTTCCACCTTTATATGTGACCTTTTCCTCTTCATCTCCTTATGTATTTTCTTAATTGAATTATTCATACCTCAATAAATTCATCAATTCTTCCCCAACTCTCCGATGCTGTAACAACTTCTTACCACTCTCACATCTATAACTGCATTTAAAAAACACTGGTTTTTCGTATTAAGTCATTACTATCACACCGGGAAAAAAAAACCTGAAGTTCTAAAGTATAATGATTTAAAAAAAGGGAAAAAACCTTTGAAAACAAAAAAATTTTTTCTATTTATGAAACATAATATAACATAGCACTAAAAATTGAAATTGTTAGTAGCGTGAAAAGTTCCTTATTGTACAATTACGTAGTTTAGATTATTATTCAAATAATTAAATAATCTGAATACACTTTAAGGTAGTGAAATTTTTACTATTCGAATATCAAAGATAATTTTTTTTGGATTACTATTTTTATCTATATTTTTTTTTTTTGTATATAACATTTATCACTGGATGAATGAGCAAATAGAATTGCAAGGTTATTCGCAAATTAACCATTAATTCATTAATTGACGTTAATTCTAATAATCAGTGATAAAATTGATAATGTTTTCATGAAAACATTCTTTATTAACGTTCAATAAAATTGTTGTAAATATTATTACTGTTAAATATATCATTAATAGTAATATTTTTATGATAACGAATCATTTTGATTTATTGAAACCATTGATTCCTTTTCTCATTTTATGTGCATACATACATGCACACGTACATATTTATATAATTCATACTAATTTATATATTTACTCATATTCTTTCTCTTTTACTAGCGTCATGCATTATAATTAATTTATTTAATTAATATGGGAAGTTAGAGTGTTATTAAAAATTTAGAGCAAAGATATTCTGTTCTCTTTTTATTTTAGTGACTAAAAGTAAATAAAAAATATTTCGTCAAAGGTATTAATGAGTGGTAGGTTACCTTGGGATAATATATGCATTTATTAAGTTCTATTAATATGCAAACAATCAATTTGTCTGAATATTGGAAATATTGAGTGAAGCTTAACATTTCACACATTTGTTTAGCTAAAGTAAATAAACAAAATGAATATTGGAAAGTTTACTTTAGGTATCATCCTCTTTATTACTACCACTTCTGGTTGTAGTAGCTGTAGTAAAAGCTTTTTTTCTGCTTATTGTAAAATATATAATTCATTAATTTAACTTAAAAAGTAGTCATTTTTACGGTTTTCATTGTTCAAGTGATAATGGTGATGATAAAATTGATAAGAGAAATAATAGGTATAATAGAGAAATGATGATGATATGATAAACGCATTAGTGATGATAGTGGTGACATCAGCGTTGATAATGGTGATAAGTAACAGTTGAAAGGAGTAGTTGATTATTTTGTTAGAGATAACGTTATTAATATATCTAAACATTCGTGTAACTAAATCTTGATATGAGAATAATGTTAATTATCGCCATATAAACCATTGTTCATCTATTATTTCATTATAATTACTGGTCATAAAAGAATAATAAACTGGTTTAAATATAAATTTTATCATCAGTAATATTACTTTTTTCATGTGATTGATTGGGAAAGTAACACTAAAATATCAACCGGACTACTAGCAGCTAACATTAAATCAATATATAATTTTAAATGTAGAATTTTATGTAAAAATAATGAGTAATTTATGATTAATAATGAATGAATATAAAATATTGAATGTTTAGAGTATTATAATTAACAGATTGAAACTGTTTTAGTGTCAATACTTTTAAAATTTAATAGTAAAAAATTAATGGAGAGTTTTGTATTCAAAATTTTTTTTTGCAAATTTTATTTTCAATTAAGTCTCAATTTTGTTATGGCTCTTTTTTAGAAATATATCATTTAAATTTTTAAATACGACCTACGTTATTTTGATTTGATAATGTATTATTACAGTAACCTATGATATTTGAATAGTAAAATGTGTTTGGGAATTAGTAGCTGTATTAAATGCTATCTTCTATTTTACCATTGTAAGGTAGCTCAGTTCTCTAAGAGGCTTATCAACAAGGGTGACTATAAATATAATCCGTTTGTAAACACTATTTCATTCTTCTCTTTCATTTCACATCAGCAGGTTATCCGATGTAAAAGTTAGCTACCGAGTAAGCGTAATGATGCATGAAAAGATTAAATTAATTAAACTGATACCAAATTTCAATGCAACAAAGATTGAATTCAATAGTATTTAGCTGCTATTAATTAGAATTACTAGCATATGTCAGTAGTATTTAAGATGTTTAATCAATCAGTTATAATTTCTTTAATTGGAATAACTTATTTGAAGGTAAAAAATCTAACAATTGAAAGAGATTGAAGTTATGTGTCTTTCAAGCTTCAAATAATGTTATGCTTGCATTATAGTTCTATCCAAAATTACTTTTGCAGGCAAAATGCGATAATTTATCGTTTATCGATAATCGTACTTCCCAAATAATCTATTAATACTATTTGCGAATATAAAAGAATTAAAAGGATAAAGTTTAATAAATATGATCAAATGTTATCCTTAAGCAATTGGTATTTTTGATGGCACTGTTGGAATGATTGTTTCATTGATTATGAATAAAATTTAATCAATTTAATCATTTCCAAAAAAACCAATTCAGCACCATAGTGCGTTAGGTTTTTGAAATTTATTCATATGCTTCTAATATATCAAATTTTGTTTGATAAAATTTGCCATTTCAGTCTTCGAAGGATTAAATTATAGCTTTAAATGATATATTAAACTTTAGCAATATTCATTGTTGAATAACATTATGGGGCATTTATTGTTTTAATTAATTATTCGTATTTCAATTATATCCCTAAAAATCATAAGATCCATCTGAAGATTATTTCATTTCATGATTTGTTTCGAAAATTATACGATAATTATAAGGATCACTTCGAATTTTTTCCCTTATGGTTTGTACAGAATAAAAAATTTATTTCAATTATTGGGAATATGTACAGTATATTATTGTAGTAAGAACTATGCAGACATATTTTTTGAATATTATAAATTTTATAAATCATAAAAAGAAAAATTTTTGTAAATTTTAATAAATTTATTTAGTTGAATTAAAATTTTGCATTTAATGGTTGCTGTTAATGCAATCATGGAATATTATCGTAATAATATCAAAAAAAAAAACAGTGAGACTATTTCCAAAGTTTACATAACAGTAAACGTATATGTGCATAACCTTTAACCCCTACCGTGATCCTTTCTACACAATATTTCAATGAAAGCAAACAGCAAATGATTGGAAAGAAGAATGCTCAAAATATTTTATGCAATATGTTGAAATTTTTTTTATTTCAAAAAGAAAAATTGATCAGTAATTTTTTTCTTCTCATTTTCTGTTCCCCTTTCTCTTTCCCCTCTCTTTGTTCTATTCTTTAAACATTTATTCTCATTTTTGGATGTCTAAATATGGTACCTATTTATATGTTTGTTGAATATTTACTTAATAAAAGAAATAGGAAGCTGGAAAAGGGAAAGAGAGAAAGAAAACGAATGGAAGAGAAAGAAAGAGGTAAAAGGGATGAGGTCATTTCCTGTAAGTTGTCTTCTTCGGGATTTTTGCAATGATTACATATATTCGATACACAGTGATATCATTCATCATCAATTCGGAAAAAATATCTCTCGAAAAGGATATTCCAAAACAACTGAATGAAATATTTCTCGAAGAAATAATATTAATCACAAATCTTCAGCTAATAAATCTATATATCAAGTTAGTAATAAATTGCTTATTGCAATTGCTGTTGCAATAGCAATTGAAGTATAGTATAACATAGCATAATATAGTATAGCATAGTACAAATCTATTATTAATTAATGGTAGTAAATGAATGAATGAGTAATTCATGTTGCCACATTTGTTTTTTTTTTTCCACCTTCTGATATGAATGATGAAAGAATGAAAGAAAGGAAGGAGGAAAAAAAGCCAAAGGTATATCCAAATATGACCCTTGACATTTCCTCTTCCTCATACGCAACCTCATTCTACCCGAAAAAATTGTTTGAAAACAAAAAAAAATACTAACTACTCCTTAAGTATCCCTTCTACCACTTCAAATTCATCCTTCTTTAAATGAACAAAAGAGGGGAAGAAGTGGATGAGATGGAAAAAGCACTTCATTAAAATACTTCACATCCATTTTTATACCACTAAAGAAGTGATAATAAATCGCATTAACAACACGAGCATATGGGAATCTATGAAATTAGTACAACAAAAAAGAAATATGTTTGTTCCGGAAATTAAACGGATTGAATTGAGGTTTAGATGAAATTATCATATATGCAAATCTGTTATTATTTGTCGGAAATTAGGCAAATTCAAATTGGATGAAATAATAATTTACACCTGTATGAATCATTATTTGTGATTCGTTTTTTTTTTTGCATATAATAAATTGATTATTAGTAAGTATATGAATATAATTTTAATACGATTATGGATTTTATGATAAATCATAAAATGATAATAATTCATATTGATCATATTTTTGTATATTTTGTACTAATATTAAAAATTATGTATTGCACTATCAATAAAATTCATCGGAACCATCTTCTTAAGTTTCTATTTTATCAGATTTGTAAATCTTCCTATAATTGACTATTCATATTAGCCTCATGATTCGTGGTAATACTCACGATGTTAATACCAGTGCATTTTAAACATTCGCATACGATCGAAAATTATGGCATAAATGAGATTAAGATGAAAAGGTACAACATTTATATTTCTTTCAGAATCAATCTTCTGAAGTAGTTTTTAGGATTTTTCATATTTCTCAAAATAAGGCAAAAGAAAGGGAGCAAAAATAACATAATCAGCAAAAATATTAATCGTTAATGATTAACATTAAATCGACTCCTTTTTTTTTTTTTTTAAATTTAATTTTATCATCTCCTTCAAGCAAACGATTGCATTCAATGAGTGAAAAAAAAAAGACCAATTTATTTTTATTCAGTATATCACCGCTGAATAAGTAATGGTGGAAATTGTAAACTGTTATGTGAGATAACCAATCAGCCGTAATTCCTCTTTTGTTTTTGATGTTGCAACGAATTCATTACATGTCGAGAAAGATAGATGAGATCGGTTATCAGTTTGTGTTAAGGAGAGGCGAAAAAATTTTGGCAGCTATTCAGAAGGTCTGGTGTAAAGTTCAATTGACTTTATGGTGGTTTTCATCTTGGCCCAAGATAGCACGATACATCACCTCGCATCTTTGGTCCCTCATCACCACCACTGCTACCACCACCTCCACCACCACCACCACCGCCACCACCGCCGCCACCGCCTAAAATTATCACCATTATAATCCATACTATCATCGTTATTTCTATGATTATCATTATCATAATTAAAATTATCAGCAATCAAGAAATTTGGAATTCTATCGTCCAAATAACCTTCTACTCACTTCCATAATCATATTCTTGTTGATAAGCGTAACCGCCACCATAACCGCCTCCACCATAACCACCTCCACCATAACCACCTCCACCATAACCGCCTGCACCACCACCATAACCTCCACCAACACCTCCACCAGTAGCACCACCAGCAGTACCACCAGGACCACCTCCAGCACCACCACCAGTAGGTGCTCCCGGTGGTCCCATGTAACAGCTTGTGTCGCCCATCTTGCACGGATTAAAAGTTACACGAATAAATGGCATCCGCCTCGAATAAGTGCTTATATAACTGAAAATATGGCACATAAAATTATCATATCCTACAATTTTTGCATAAACATAATTGAAAAAGTGAAAAAAATTCAAAAATTTCCATAATATAATAAAAATTTATACTTAACATAATTAACACATATGAAAAGTATACATTTAATTTACATAATTTATGAATTTTTTTCCAAATATTTAAAATTAATACTG